GAGAGAGAGAGAGAGTTGGCGAGCTGCCGAGATTCAATTTGCTCGAATTACGGACGATCGTGGTCGGGCCTGTTCGAGGAGAGAACGATTACGTTACACAATGCGTGGGTTGTTTAGCTCCCATCGATTGGATAAAGGATCAAAGCATTGGGGATAACGATCAGAGTGGAATGTCATAGAAAGATATTTGCGCGATTGTCCATTAGATACGGCGTATTAGACGCGGCGTATCTCAGCCAATGAATTCTCGTAAACGGTCAAAGGTTGAGAGTACGAAGGCGCGAGAGGTGTACGATTAAACTAAACACAAATGCCGGAGGAAAGAAAGTTGAACGAAGATTGAAAAGCTCAGGAATTTAAAAAAATTTACCGACATTTCCTCGTCTGATGATGCAAAGATTCATCTCGCCGTTCGTCAAGGGAGGTGCACGTTAATTTTTTTAAACGTTGGAACTATCGAGAAGACAGCACGCGGTCAGAAAGGAGCGAAAAATGAGAAAAGGAGATAATTTTGATCGCCGAATTGCGCAAGGTTCTTCAGGTATTGGCCGTGAACGCGAACGGAGTAGGACGCGTCGGAGACGAGGGAATAAATAAACCGTGACATCGAGGAAACGAGAGCGCCGTGGTTCGGCACTCTCTCGATTCGGCCAATCGAGTGGCAAAAAACGTGTGGTGTGTGTGTGTGTGTGTGTGTGTGTGTGTGTGTGTGTGTGTGTGTGTGTGTGTGTGTGTGTGTGTGTGTGTGTGTGTGTTGTGTGTGTGTGTGTGTGTGTGTGTGTGTGTGTGTGTGTGTGTGTGTGTGTGTGTGTGTGTGTGTGTGTGTGGATAGTGGAAGTCGGATTTGACTAATGGGTGAGTTTGCTCATCATTCGCAAACACAAAGATCTTCGCGTTTCGCCACGCCGTTGTTGGATTCGTGCACTAGTTGCTGGCTGACGTCAGCCCCCTTATCGCCCAGAGATACTGGCAGGATAATCGAATCCATGAGATACCGCGGAATTTACATGCCAGCTTTAACGTCGATAGCCGCGAAAATGGCTTTCATGAGAATAACAAGATGATGTAATAATAATAATAATAATAATAATAATAATAATAATAATAATAATAATATGGGACAATATAAAACTTCATCTTTTAATAAGAACGCATTTTTCTAGTAAAAGTTTTCAATCTAATTGTAAGATGCATCTGATGCCGCGCATATTTGTTTTTTTATTTCTAAATATGTATTAATTACTCAGCGAAATTTTATCTTAATGTTGAGATATCTTAACGGTGAAAATTTCGTTTTTCCAGGCATCGACCATCGATGGCCGTCGAAAGGGCGCCTGTCTCTTTTGCCAAGAATACTTCATGGATCTGTATCTCCTGGCGGAGCTGAAGACAATCTCCCTGAAGGTGACGACGGTCGATATGCAGAAACCCCCGCCCGATTTTCGCACCAATTTCCAGGCCACGCCGCCGCCCATCCTGATCGACAACGGCGACGCGATATTGGAGAACGAAAAGATCGAACGGCACATTATGAAGAATATCCCCGGCGGGCACAATCTGTTTGTACAGGATAAGGAAGTGGCCACTCTCGTGGAAAACTTGTTCAGCGTAAGTGTCGATCGACCCGGTCGAGAGTGAAACCGATCGGGGAGACCGAGCTGTCAAATTACGTTCCTTTCTCGGACGAGGTGAGAGATTGTATGCCGCTCATTCGTTTCGTTGCAGAAACTCAAGCTGCTGCTGCTAAACGCGAAGGACAAGGACAAGGATCCCAAGTCCTCGTCGCTGATGGCGCATCTGCGCAAGATCGACGAGCATCTGGGTCGCAAGGGCACGCGCTTCCTTACCGGCGATACCATGTGCTGCTTCGATTGCGAACTGATGCCGCGATTGCAGCACATCAGGGTCGCTGGCAAGTACTTTGCCGACTTTGAGATACCGGAGACTTTGGTACACTTGTGGCGGTATATGCATCACATGTACAGGCTCGACGCTTTCCTACAGAGCTGCCCGGCCGATCAGGATATCATTAATCATTACAAACTGCAACAGGTGAGACGCTTCGACCAACCGGGCGGGTCGACCTCTAATTGCATATGAGATGTCAGCTAAATAATTAGCGCTTTTCGACGAGAGCCTTTAATTCACGCCCACGCGTCACACGATGACGCAATCTCATATGCCGCGCAGTAAATCGCGTCTTTTCCCACGTCCACCATCGGTGTAATTACATAAAACCTCCCATCGTTATTTATTACAGAGTATGAAGATGAAGAAGCACGAGGAGTTGGAAACGCCAACCTTCACTACGAGTATCCCGATCGAGGTCAACGACGATTAGGCCGGACCTTCCTCATCGAGTCTGAGATCGCGTGACTTCGATTAGACGTTGAGATCGACCTTGCATCGAAAGACGGCGAAT